GACTTTTTTCCATTGAAAACTCACGTTTAGAGAATGCTACAAATAAAAGTCAAATTTCATTCAACATGCGTTTATTTTTTTTATAATTAAGTGTTACACGTGCGCTAAAAAGTGCCCTTCCTCCCCCTCCTGAGCACCTGCCCCCCAAAATGTCTGTGCACGCCTCTGGTAAACAGTGTGGGAGAAAAAACATAACCTGACAACAGCCAGATGCATGGAGCTAGGCGGAGCGAGACATGCATCTGGCTGTTGTCAGGTTAGAAAAAACATGGTGTGGAAAAAAAACAAAAACGCATTGATATGGAAGTTCAGAGCATTAAATATGTATGGTGCAATTATGCAGAATTTCAGATTGGTGTATTAGTGTGAGGGAATGCCTATCAAACATGTGCAAGAGAAATACATGTATGTCTATGTAACTACAAGCATCTTTATAGCTAACTTAAGCATGCCACAGGCCAATAAACAAGCTATTGTCTAGCTAGATTTATTTATCTATTTATTTTCCTGTGCATTTAGAGCTTTTGAAGAGGAATTCTTGTAGGATTTGATATGGACTATGAACCCGTGCTCTGTTCATATCGACCAAGATCCAGGATAAGCAAGTATGATGGCCTTACGTAAAAATGTCACCAGAATGACTGACTATTAGGAGGACCACTTATTTTGATGATCCATCCAGAAAAAGAACATCCTCCCCTATACCTTCAATCGTTAATAGAATAAGCTTTCACTAGCGACAATGCCCACTAAAAAATCAATTACTGCCAGTTCTTTGATGTTCCATTTTCAGTGGGACTAGTAACAATTGAAACCCCAAGCAATTAGGCACTAAAATTAGGAACAGATCTACATAACAGTTAATGATGGATATGTCTAAAAAGCAAATTAACCTGTAGGGAATCATTCTAAGCAGGTACTTATGGAAAAGGGGCATTTCAGTCCTAAGCTCATCCTCTTGACATTTGACGTACAGAAAGTCATTTTTAATCACTTAGCTATATTTCCCTTATTTTACTTTATTGGAGACATTTCTCCATAAGCGTGAGAGATGGTTGTGCTTGAAAATCCCGAAAGATCAACATTTTCTGACATACTTAGACCAACCCATCTGTCACCAACAGCTATGCTGCAATACAAAGTAACTGAAAAGTATCAAACCAAGGGGCTGGTGTATGTAGATTTCATATGGTAACAGCTGGGTAAACCACACGCACAAAAAAAGCTGTTATTTACACCAAATTTGTGCATTTTTACAGTGCCACATTCAGACGTAAAGCACAGTTTACTGATCAGGTTAGTCCCACACTACCAACTAAAAAAAAAGCCCCATCAATAATTCTGTCCACTGTTATGGACCTTATGAATCAGCAGTGAGATTACTCTCTGAGGACAGCAGCCCTGAATGAGAGGACACAATTAGGCAGAGAGCATTGAAAACAAATGAATGACGACTTGGTGAGGATGTGGGATGAAAGTAAAGGAGCTTAGATGTGGGGGTTGACTCATGATGAGGAGGAGGATGAAGAGGAGGAGAGGATTGTACTGTACCTGCAGAGCCTGTAAAACCAGTCATAAAGGCCATCCTGGCATCACGGGGGGAGATGTATTCACTCTGACAGAAAAAAAATTGCAGTAAATCAAAACCACACACACACAAACCAGGTTTTTAAACCCAGATGGATTAATTATGACAGGCACCACATGTACCAGGTGAGCATCGGTGCCAGGAATGATGTAGGCAGATATATTCAGGGAAAGCATTTGCTCACGTAGTTCCTGCAGCTGGAGAGTGGTATTTACTGCTGTGCTGGGGAGAAACTGCAACAAATGCAGACAGGAAGAAAGATGACATGCACATAGATGGAGGCAGAAGTCTCCACATTTATTTAAAACCCAGGAAGCTGCTGAATTATCTGTTTTTCCATCATGCTCTATAATCATTAACTCTGAATGACTCCACTGGGGGCAAAGTTGTCCCTTAATTGTTGATGTTTTTATGGAAAACTATAGTTTATTGTTGTGGGTATTAAAATCGTTCTTAATCGAGTCTTACCGGTGGAGTCAGAGAGCAGTTCCTCTCAGTTCGCTCAAACAAAGCAGCACTGGAAAGATTTCCTGAAAGAACATGAAGACAGATCTAAAACACTGGCAATTACAGACTGGAGCGCACATCAGATAAGCCAAACTTATTATGCTGAGTTGTTTTTTTCAGCTCTCTGAAACATATCTGCCGTCAGTGAGGCAAAGATTGGTATGGACAGAAAATCTGAATATATTCAAGCAGAAATCAAGCCAGGATATTAACCAAGTCTATGTCCAAAACTCAGAATTTTATAAGACAGCTGAAAAAATTTGAGAGCCACTGAAAGAAACTATGAAAACAGGTTTTCACTACAACTGCAACTTTAACTGATCTCTTTCGTCTATATACAACTACAAACCTATCTGTCTTACAATTTCAGTTAACATTACACCATAAACAGTGATCATCAATAAAGTGAGCAGAGGCAGAAAACAGGATGAAGACAAACTCTTTACCCGCCAGTATGGCCGCAGAAAGAGCCCACAGCAACACAGCGGAAGGCATCTTCACCGTCTACACAGAGATCCTGTCCAGACTGCCAGCTGAGCTGATGTGCATTCGGGTTATGTGACAAGGAGTGCCGGGCAATGTTGTGAGCATGTATGGGGGGGGAAAGCCGTCCCCTCTATCCCTTCTCTTGCTCCTCCTCTTCCTCACCACCTCTAACTATCCCCTCTCCCTGTAGCAAAGCAGGCTTTCATGGTAGATTTAGGATAATTGTTTAATTTCTTGATTTTGTAAAACAGGTCCTGGGCCACTGTGAACAATAACTGATTTTAAAATGTTTCCTTAATAAAACACAATTTGTGTTCAGTTAATAGCAGAAACTTATATACAAGCCATGAAAAGATGCTTTAATTCTCTCTGTCTACAACAAAACAAGATTATGTTTTTCTATCAACTGTCATAATAACAAGAGAGAACATTTTTTTCTGCAGTTTTTTATTAATCCCTTCATGACATCAGAAGCATGCATACATCTACTTGCCCTTTTCATAGAGTACAGTACAATGCCTTCTGACATTCGAGGGAAAAATTATGTGTTTGCTTCACAAGCTTCTCCCAGGTCAAAAGGGGTGCACTTCAAGGGGATACCTTAAATACATTGTTTCTTTTTGTGACTTCTCAGAAAAAAAAAATAAATAAAAATTAGTCTTGAAGATATTCAGCCTTGTGTACAATTCCCAAATGGCTAGAATCGCTAATAATCTGTTCAAGCAATTAAAACTACAATAACATAATGTTGAGTTGGGATATAGTCTAGGATAGGAAAAGTTCTGTGTCTCAGAGATGAACGTGTTTTTGTGTAAGAAGTGTGAATTAAATGAAATCAGAGAATTTTGCGGAAAAAGCAGGAAAGAGAGTGACATTGTCAACATTGACTGAAAGGTTAGGAAGAAGCCAGTAACTATAAATTATAGCTTAGAAAAGCATACAGGAAGAAACATCTTTATTTTCGAAGAAAGGCCCCTTGGTCTTATGGACCTGTATTTGAACAACAAGGCCTTTAAGTGTGAAAATATCTCCACTTTAAAGTATGAAGGGGCAAAAAATCATTTGCTGTGGATTTTTCACTGCAGGAGGTACCGATGCCCTTCAAAAAAAAAAATAGCGCCATGAAGATTATTAGGCAGAAATATCAACATGACATCTTAAGACATCTGCTAGGAAGTTGAAGCTGAGACAAGTTAGGTTTCTAAATGGGCGATAACCCTAATCATGACACCAAATCACCAAAGCTGCTGAAAATTACATTCTCTTTGGGTTTTGTCAAAAGAAACTTTGTAGAGATAATAAGGTATGTATGACAATTTGTTTTCAGATTCAAACATAAAGGGGCTTTTCTTTGTTAATGTTCTTGCTCTTTAGAACTTGAGAGATTGTGGTTCAGGTGCGTTTGACTTGGGACAGCTCAAAATGTTGTAGGACACCAATGACCCACCACTGGAGTTTAACCCACCAGCTAAAACAATTGACTAAAGGCTTAAAAAAAAAAAAAAAAACTACATTGGGAGGTGAAGTCTGAAGTCTGTTGAGGTTTTATAAAAAAAAAATAAAACACATGAAAACACAATACATACAGTAATATTAACACAGCAATGTTAAAAAGAGTATTTTGTGTCTCTTATGAACTTGTCATGATCTCAGCACTGATGTCTGGTCTGATTACTCATTTCACTTACCTGCTTAGCTCTACCTAGTTATCGTTACCGCTCATCTGATCTACCTTCATTAGTCTCTATTTAACCAGCCTTCAGACCAGCCATCAGTGCCATATTTCGAGCCATTGGTGAGATTATTCTAGCGTTCCTGTCTTCTCACTCCAGCCTGATCTCTGCCTGCTTGTGTACTGACCAAAACAGTTTCCCGACCAGTGGGTCTGCTTGCCCTTGTCCTGCCTCTCAGCCCCACTGTGTATCGTACCTGGAACTGTGACCTGACTCCGTCCTGGATTCTCCTTCGGCGCCTCTCCAGATCTCTGACCTCCTGGCTCTGACAACATACCACGTCACTAACATTGGCTTTGGCTTCACCCTCTGCCTACATTTGTCTGCTCGGTTCTGATCTCCTGCATGTCCTCCAACCACGATACATCAACGTCTGGCACATTCCCTGCTGAGTCGTGTTTGCAGCCGACTGGCTGGAACCAACCTCACCCTCTGGGCACGGACTTAACTATGAGACCAGGTTAGTGACTCACACGTTCATTATCATCCACTTCCAGAAACACGTGGTCACTAACCTGTTGTCTTCACCTGCAGAGCATCGTTCCGAAATTTGCCGACTTCGCCAATCCCGATTCTGTTTTCAATAAACTTCTGAGAAATCTTTGTCAGCCTCGAATAGTGGATCATTCACTTCTAAGCTTAACTGGAATTAAGTAAATCCTTTAATTTAACAACATTAAAAAGTTAATCTCTATTGAAAACAATTTGAATTTGAACATTTGAATTGAGAAAGCTTCCTGGAGGGGAAGCGAAACGTCTTAAAAACTTGGAAACCAAGTCCAGTGGATTGTTTTTAAACTTTTACGGAATTGAAAACAATACTGTTCCTAAATGTTACGCTTCCAGAATTGGAAAGGACCTTAAAAAAATCCATTTTGTGACTTAATGCTGAGAGACATAGTGTACTGTATCTCTTTAAATGAATATAAATTGGCAACAAGAGTTTGTTAGTCAATGTTTCTGATAAAGACTTTTAGCTATCAGTTTGAAAAACATAATTCAAATATGCATTATTTTTATGTTAGTCCTTAACGTGTTATTTCTGTTGATTATGATGTAAAACAGCATATTCACTATTCTGATTATTATTTACTGTAAAACGCAGAAAAGATCAGTGTGTCTCTAAGATACAGAGCATCCACAGCAGGCTGTTATTTCTGGTTTATTAAGGTAGAGCTCCATATATCTATGCTCCTACTGAGCCACTGAATACCTGATGTTGTTATTCTTTTAGGTGGCACCTCTGCTTCTCTGAGATCAAGCAGCTTTGAAGATGACTTCAAAACCTGGCAGCTCTACAAGCCAAACAACTCTAAAAAAGGTTTACTTAGTGTTTTTTCTCAGGAATAACAAATGTTACTGTCTGATTTTCTCTCATAGCAGTGTTAATCTAATAAAAACCTACAGGTCAGTGATGTCAGATTCAAAGCATTTCCTTGTTTCTTCCTTCAGAACTAATTTTAGATATCATGAGACCCAGACTCTAAAGTTGGACATCTTATAATCTGGAAACAGAGTAAACCACCTGATAATAATCACTCTGAAAGCCACATCTCACTAACAATATTTTAGAGTTTTGCTAGGCTCAGTCTAATCGGATGCGCTGTAGCATAGTTTTAAACCTCTAAATATCACCATATAAGAAGAAAATGAAATGCCCACTAGAATTGGAGAGAGACCAGAGGAAGTCAGGCCTAAAGGTTTCAGAACCTTTAAGAAGGAGGAAACAGCAGTCTACTAATGTCAACAAATTCTGCCAATACTGCTGATATGCAGTATCCTTGGCAAAGTTAAAGTAAACGGAAAGTTTAAAGAAAAAAATCCAGCAATACACAATGATCCAGCAATGGAAAAAACTAGGAGCTTAAATCCTGAGGCAGGGATGGAAGGTGACAGAGGGATGGGATGAGCTAATCAGGGAAAATGTGAAACAGCTGTGGCAGAACGAAAGCATGGAAACTGAGAGAGAGAGAGACTGATACAAATGAAGCTGCACTAAAACTCAAAGAAAACAGACTAAAATGAAAAGACTAACAGAGAAATCAATCAAAATTAGCAAAAAAATGATAATAATAAACTTAGAAACTAAATATAGAATATTAAACGAAAATTAAGAAACTTAGATTGCAAAAATGATTTAATGCTCTCAAACCTAAAAATATTAATACAAACAAGGAACAGTTTAAAAAACAAAAACCCTAAACCATGACACTCTGGTGTTTTTTGTTGTTTATGTTCAAAGACTTCAGCCAAGATTAAAAACCACACAAGGCAAATATTATCAACATCAGGGGCCAGACATGCTACTATACAAAGGATCATCACATATGTAGCTTAAGTACATTGGAAGTCAAACATGACAAGTACATGATTATCACAGTCTTTAAACGTGAATGAAGAAAGAGAATGACGCACCGTGCACCTAAGCACGTTGGAACAGAACAATGGTAAAATGCAAATCAAATAAAATCAAATCACTACTTAGTCAGGGGGTTAACAATACTGGAGACTAAACTGCAGATTACTATCCCTCATCCTGATTCACTAAAGTGTTAGCAACAGTGCTAACAGCTGTGCATTAATGCAGCCCCAGAAGGAAAATATTTATACTAAATATTGTAATAACCAAAAGTTCCTGGAAGAAAATCCCCCATTTCTAAGTTGTATGAAGAGGTTCAAAGGTGTGGTTAGAGGAAAAAAAATATATACATATATATAGTATTTGTAGCCAACTTTATCAACAAACAAGCATGTTTCTGCTGTTGGCTTTCACCAGGGTTTGACATCCATCCATCCATCCATCCATCCATCCATCCATCCATCCATCCATCCATCCATCCATCCATCCAT